AAAAGAATGGGCCAAAAATGTCCAGGACACAGTTTACTTAATGGTGAAATATCGGAAGTATGTATGTATGTATGTATGTATGTATGTATGTATTTATTTATTTATTTATTTATTTATTTATTGTTGTGGTGTTGTTTGATACCAGGAATGAACTCCAGGGCACTTAATCACTATGCAATAGACCTTTTTTGTATTTTATTTAGAGACAGAGTCTTGCTGACTTGCTAAGTGTCTCACAAGGTTACTAAGGCTGGCTTTAAACTCTTCATCCTCTTGCCTCAGCCTCCCAAATTGCTGGGATTACAGGTGTGCACCCCCGTGCCTCGCTTATTTAAGTTTTTGAACTAATACAAGGATGTCAGTAATCATATCACTATAATGTTGTAGTGAAAGCTCAAAGTAAAGCAATAAGATTAAAATAAAGAAACAAAAGAGATATGTTTATAAATAGTGAAACAAAGTAGCAAATGACACCATGATACACAGGAATATTAACATGCAAAATAAAATAAGGACTTTACCACATTTCCTGTCTTCAAAATTAATTTATAACAATCAAGGGCATACATGGCTAATTACTGTAAAATATGATTTTCAAAGGACTACTCTCAAGAATAATAAGTACTCTACTATTTATATATAAATCTAATGAACTATATAGAAAATTTTTATGTGGAAAATTATATGATATAGTTGAAAGCCATGTGAAGAATAGAATAAATAAAAAGATATGTTTGTGGATTGAGAGAATCAAGATCCTGAAGATATCCAATTTCCCCATTTTGATCTATATATACAATGTAATCCTAATAATAATCACAATTCCAGCAAGGCATTTTGTTTGTACTTCATGCATGGGTTTGTAGACAAATGAATATCTGCTCTCTAGGAACCACAGTAATTCTGTTTTTCAAATTGCTTGAATGCTTATCTTTATGAAACACAGATTTAATCCGGTGATTTTCTTGTTTAGAAATTTTCACTTATTTCTTCAAATTTTCAGGATAAAATTTAAAATCTTAGACAAAGCATATAGATCCTTGGTGGCCCCACCCAGTCCTCTAGAACTTTATCTCCTGACTGCTACTACAGGTAACCAGGGTTCTGGAGTCCTGAATGTAGTATTGTCACATGCATGATGTCTTCAATGCAGTCTTTGGAGTAAGACATTCAGGTCTAGTTTAAGAGAATCAGAGAAGAAAAATGTGGTTTGTTGTTGCTGAATTCAGACCATCCAAGGCCAATTTTGTAACTGTGTTGGGGATTCTTTGAGCTACATAAATTGAGTATAACTCAATAAATCATGTTCTTACTGGTACATACAGGTAAAACTATGAGCAACTTGATTATGCTTTTTGATCTAATTATAGATGGCAATTTGCATACCTACAAATTCCCATAACCATCTCCCTAAAAAAGCTTAAAATTGAAGACTTTTGTATGTGCAGGGCTGTTTCAAAATAGTAAACAGGAGACTAAGAATAGAGACATTCGTAGTGAAATCATGATATGTGTGTTCAGCAACTACCAAGAAAAAAAAATAAAACAAATATGGAGAGAGAGGGTGTGAGAGAAAAAGGAAAGACATTAGAATTTAATGAGAAAAAGAGAGCTATAGGACTGAAACAGAGTGAAGAATGGGATTTTATGAAATGAACTTCGTAAATGACATCACCTAGAGATTAAGGAAGAGAAGTATCTCACCCTTGGCCTTTGGCTTCAGCTCACAGGTTTAGTCTGGAATGTTCCTGGGTTCTGAAACTGATGTGACAGAAGGCAGGAAAAGATATAACAAAGAGATTAGTCTGAAAAGATTTGGAAGTCCAACTGCTAATCAGAAGAAAAAAAAATTAAGAGGCCTATCACAATACCTGAAAAGAAACACATTTTATTACTTAAAATATTTTAAGCAAGTTTTTCCTTTTTTTTTTTACCTCATTTTATAGAGTTGGCAGAAATATTTGGAATACAATTCTTTCATCAGATACATGCCCCAAATCATTTTCACAACCAGATATATTAGACTTTAGGAAACATTTTTCATTGCATTGATGTGAAATTTATTGTAAAGCTTTTTTTTTTTTTTTTTTTTACTTCTCTAGTGAATGTATTTAGAAAGAGTATAGTAGTGAAATCAAATAATATTTGTTTTCCTTGAAAACATGGGAGACCTGAATATATGCCTAGACAGAAATTGATAACGTCACTGGTTACTGACTTGCCTGAGAACAGTGCTTAGTTCTTCATGTTATATAATTTGGTGTTGGTGCATGTAAAAAATGGCTTAGGAAATTTCCTCTGAAAGTGGATTGTAAAATTAAAAAAAAAAAGAAATTAAGTCACTGACATAAATCCAGTATATATATTTCAGAATTCAACTTGATATTTGAGATCTTCATGGTTTCTGTTTTAACCACTGAATAAACACCTATTTGATGGCAAGTTTGTAGGTTAAGTCCTTTTATGTTCCATGCATCCCAGATACCCTGCCCCTAAGCAATATATTTCCAAAAAATTAGTTGACACCACTGACATTTGTGAGGCTTTCTTGTGATTATCAAATTATTTTTGGGGTTAGCCACACAGCTTGACAGATATACTGAGTACTTTCCTTACCCACTCATACACACAAACATCTCCAACCAAACTATCTATAAAATAATGGAAGTGGTACTATATTTATCTGCTGTGTTCTAAATTCTAATGAAAGGATAACTTCAATATACATTTTGGGATATAGGTAAATAATAATATATACATACACACTTCTATTAAAATTTCTTCCACTCTTACAGAAAACTGCTTCTCAATTATTTTACCTTTTATTTACCCTCAATTGTAAGGAAACACTTTAAGTAAATCTTGTGCTCATTTTGCAAATGAAAAAACTGAGGCCTGGACTGATTATGGATCATGATACTGGCTTACTGTGGATTTGAGACAATAAATCAAGTTTCTAATTCTCTATTCCAGTTCTTCTTGTTGGCTTAATGACTTCCCACCATGGTGAGGATTTTAAAACTGGCAAGGGTCACTTTCTGGGCCTAATACCTCAATACACCAGGCATATTCAGGGTCTTCTTTCAAGTGTCATTCCAACTATTTAAGACTTTCATATGCCCAATTCTTTGAGATTTATTTTTTAATCCAATAAATATATGGATACTGGATTTTAAGATCATCAAAGGATTTAGGAATATGATGGCTCTTTAAATCCAGTATTTTGGGTATTGAGGTAGGTATGGCACAAACTGACCAGCAACAATTAGATTCACTGCTTCACTTCATATTACCATACCCAAATTTGTGCTTGTTTCACTACCACTTATTCCCACTCCAGGCAGTATTCCAATGGTAATAGCCCTTTAACAAGTCTTTTACCATTTCTTTTTAGGGTAAAAGGATAACTAAAGCATGTTTATTTGAAGTTTACAATTAACCAATAACATATATAAAGAGACACATGAAACAGAAGTTCACCTCCTTGGTTTTTCCTTCAATAGCTATTTGGACTCAACAGGGCCTAAAGGAGAATGTGTCTTTTAAAAATTTGTATTTCCTTCAGGTTTAGGAACAATAATCAATAGTTTTCATCTGTGATCTTCCAAATGAAGGAAATAGGGCAGCTCTAGTATCAAACCAAAGATTTTAGATCAATGTGCTTCAACCTCAAAAGAATTGTTGGTTATATTTTCTTAATCTAAACTTCATAGAATGGGGGGGTACAGTGTGCAGATCTTCTGAAATAATTTTGAATCATTTTATTCTATGATATAAACAATATAAAGATAAAGGAGGTATTTTATTCCATTTAACTTTGAACAAAACACAAAACAAAATGGGTGTGTGTAGAAAGTGAAAAGGGTTTGAGGATTATAAAAGAATAGATGCAAAAAAATTTTAAAAAGTCTGTTGTCATAATCAGCTGCCTTACAATGGAAATAAATTAGAACCCTTATAGGTGGAGGAAACACTTACATAATCATTTGAGTGTGCTTGATTTTGAATGATCTCATGATAAATGTCCCTAGGAGCCCACAAACATACCACAAAGGAGTCACTTTACACCAGGACTCAAGAGCAGCAACTGTTCTTGAAAGAAAACAAATTTCTGTTCAGGGAATTTGAACCACTCCAAAGGATTTAATGACTTGCAGGGGTTTGTAGGTCAGTCACATCTGTTCTAAAATGAAATGCTTCTTCCTGTTTCTAAATTGCCTAACCCTTAACCCCATTAGCCTTTACTTCTTAAAACAAAGATTATTCCTGTTTCATTAGCTGTGCAACATTCAGGGCCTTTATAATTTTTACAGCACATGGAATTCATCATAGCTATAAAGCTATAAAGAAGAATAATCTTCTCTTTTGGTCAGCAAAAAGAATAAAGAGTCAAACAAAGAACAAGATAAATAAGATCTGCATTAAGTTTGAAGGTTTGATTGGTATGTCATGTCTACATGGACACCTGTGGAAAATAAGTGTATCTGAAACAGATGAGCGCCTATCCAAGATGGAGAATTTCTGCGTGTTTCCCTTCTTCTCAGTAGGTTTCCATTGTTGTGCTGAGTGCTCTCCATGTAAATGAAGGGATCTAGTCTGAGGCAGAAGCTAGCCCCAGCTGCCTCTGAGGCTTGAAAACCCCTGCATTGTAAGCTTCTCAACCTTTATACTAAGGCTACACCAGAAGGCAAAGAGAGGAAGGGTCGATTTCCCTAACAACCTTATTTGCAAATATAACAGTTGGTTTAAAAATTATTAAGGAAAGGAGTAAAATGAGGTCTATACACAATCTAAAACGCAGACAAGCAGAATAGCTAGTGATTGGAGGAGAATGAATGGGTGGGAGAATTCACACATTTTATAAAGACATTAGAGAAAGGTTGGAAGAGAGAACACTGCCTTGCACTCTGTTTCCTATAACCTTCTTTTTCACAAATAATGAAATGTCAAATAACGAGAAAGAAACAAGCCCCCCAGATTTATATGCCCCCAGATCTTACCTGTGAGTAGACAAGGTTTTGCCAGTGTTGTGCAGCAGGATAATGCCCACCCGGAAATCTCGCGAGGGTAGCCTGCAGAAGGGCTGGGCTCCTCATTAAAGACTTCACGTCAAGCTGCAGGAATTTGTCAGGATGGTTGTTATTGGGCAAAACAGAAAGATCCATGTCTCCCTTCATCTACAGTGGAAACAAAGGCAGGCAAAACTGCTCCGGTCAGACTCCTCCATTATTAATGAGCCCGAGGATGCTCTGACTAGCATCTGAAACCAGGTCTCTGCTGCACTCAGAAGCCACTTTCAAAATGACATGTCAACACACAGGGACAAAGAAACAAAGCAGCACACTGCCCTTATACACACACACACACACACACACACACACACACACAGCTTTTGAATGGGACAGACAGTGCTGCACTGATTAAAATAAATAGGATGGCAAAATTAGATAATGTATGGCATTTAATGTCTCTCCATTCAGTCTGAAATAACAATCTGAGGGGCACAATTGTCTATATAAAAGCTGCCAGAATCTCAGTGTTATAGCCCATAATTTAGAACACAGGAAATAGTCACCTGGAGAGAGACACTGCTTGATTTTTCTCTCTCAATATTGTTGAGCTCACAGCAGAGTTGGCCCTGCCTAGGCAGCGTCACATGTGATAGGCAGTATCTTGTTTCTTCTCATGTTTGACTCCCAGAGACTTAAGCTCAAGTGAAACCTAATCAGGTTCAGGTTGTCAGCTCATTCTGAATAGGAGAATGGCAAGAATTTGCTTTATAGTATGCTACAGTAATTTAGTGCCCCAACCTATTGCCTTGACCCAGCCACAATCAATATACCTTTGACTGTTCCTAGCTATGTAAGCTTCTGTGATGTTTGTGTTCACATTTGGAACCAAAGGGAACCATAGCTGCAAAGTTTGGATGATGTGTTGTCTTAAGTGAACCCCTCTGCTGTTAAGAAAGCTGGGGACAATGGTGTGGGAGGGGGCGGGGTGGCTTTGGGCAGTGTCAAGCAGCAAATGACTATGGATGACTTTAATGGAGAATGTGCTGTTTTCACAAGACACTTTACTTTAGATGACCCATACATCTCATTGGGAAACTATGGAATTCCATCTGGAGAAAGAAGAAAGCTCCCCACTTGTGAGAAGATAAAGGATAGATCCATCAGTGGCTTCTAAAAAACATAGCTGTCTGATATTTTTGCATTTTCATAAACTCTCTGACTTAGCAGGAAGGTTTCCCTTCCAGGGGCAATGGGGTTACATGTGGAATGTATCAACACTAGATTTCAGAAGAGTGCCATGTAGCTTATAAGAATCAGCAGCCAGGATGTTCATGAACTAAGCAAGACACGGGAGAGCACTTACCTTTTTTTATAGCAATAGGCATAAGGGGATGTGTTTTAGCAAATATTTGTCCTACTTAAAGTTGTAAAACTTAATCCGCAGTTAATATTATCTATAAGAATTTTTTGGACATAAACTCCATTATTGTCTTATGATATTTTAAATACCTTTGAGGTGATTTTGAAGTGTGTTTACTAGAGAAGCAATAAGTACTTCATAATGACAGTTAATAACAAAACAATTAAACCACAAGTGTTCTAAGAATGAAGTGTATGATGTACACGTACATGTGTTTGATATTTTCTGGGTTTTTCGGTCTGCTGCCAGAATACATCCAATGAACAAATATTTCTCAGACTGCTTGCTTTTCCTAAAAGATTCTTTGGGGAATAACACACATCTTCAAGAAGAACCTTGCTTGTCTTTGGCTCTCTGTATTGGCAAGTGGAGACACAGAACTTAGATCCAAATATATTTGATTAGGCCTTTTCCTTAGCCAAAGTATGAGGTAGGTGAAATGAGCCTTCAGTTTTCCTTAGGCGTTCTTTTAGATTTCTGTTCTATGCCCTGTGTGCCCAGAGATTTATGCACTCCCTCTCCATTTGCAAGTTTATTCCCTTCCTCTCCATCTTCTTCCCCACTCCTTTATCATCAGTTCTCTTCTAATTCCTGCAGGTAGCCGATAGGACTGCAGCCAGGAAGTCAAACTTCAGGCCCTCTCTTCCTCTACTCCTCCCTCTCCCTGTGCCTCTGCTCCTGCCTGGAGACATTCCTTCCCATCAGTGGCTGTTGATTACCCCCTATCCATCCTTCATGGGCCATGGTTGACACCTAGACTTCTGTAAAACCTTCATACATTTTGTACATTTTCCTTAGTAGATGTGATTTTTAATATCTACTTTGAAGCTTTATTTGTACCTTCATCTTTTTTTTAAATTTGTTCTTTTTAGATATCCATGACAGTAGAGTGTATTTTGACATATTATGAAATATAAATTATTCTAATTATGATTCTATTCTTGTGATTGAACATGATGTAGAGTGGGGTTGGGGATATAGTTTAGAGGTAGAGCAATTGCCTGGCATGTGTGAGACCCCAGGTTCAATCCCTAATACAAAAAAAAAAAAAAAAAAAGAATGATGTGGTCATGTTTTCTGGTCATGTTTTCATATATGAACATAGGAAAGTTTTGTCCTGTTTGTTCTACTCTCTTTCCTATTCCCATCACACCTCCCTTCCCTTCATTCCCTTTTGTCTAAGCCAATGAACTTCTATTCTTTCCTTTCCTCTCCCACTTATCTGTGTTAATATCTGCATATTAGAAAGAACAGTTATCCTTTGTTTTATGGGGATTGGCTTATTTCATTTAGCATGATAGTTTCCATTTCCATCTATATATGGACAAGTGTCATAATTTCATTCTTCTTTATGGCTGAGCAGTATTCTAGTGTGTGTGTGTGTTTGTGTGTGTGTATCACATTTTTTTACCCATTCATCTTACTGTCCTTTGTTAGATAATTTATTTAATACTTTTAACAGCCCCTACAGTAGATAATGCATTGTAAAATAACAGACCTAATGGATGGCCCTTTTTACTTGACTCATGCCTGCAGATCCTAATAAAATCTTTTGTTCAACAAATAATGATTGCTGTTGTTTCTTCCAGTCTCTAAGAATGTAATTATTGCTGGAAATTGATAATTCAATTAAAAACATAATTAGGTGTTCTGTTTTCTAATCTTCTGTTCCATCCATGCTCATTGAAAAAAAAAAAAAGGGATTTGCTTGCCAAAAGTTTTGTGACTATATTCTCTTCTACTGATTTATGATGCATAAATTCATATTAAAACTTAGTAGTTCTGCTTTGTTAATGCTAGCATTTTCCAAATTGATTACATGACACCTATTTATTGTTTTTCCATTAATTGAAAAAAATTGAGTTATTTTAGAATAATTGGTACATATTGGCTTATGGTTTCTATTTCTCTCCTGTAATTAAATCTTTTTTTTCAAGAGCAAGGAAAGGTAACAATATAAATGAGTAAGATTTATATTGGAGGAGCACTCTGGTGGGAATCATGGAATCTAGGGCCTCTCAAATTTACCATATTGGTAGTCATTTGCTCTCTTTACAGCAATTTTAATAAAAAGTATTACTTACCCATGGATTCTCATCCCACATTAATTTTTATAGGAGGGAAATTAAAATAAAAAGATTAAATATAGACTCACTAGATAAAAGTGACTTTATTTTAATTTTCCTATTTCTCTCTTCCTCCCTTTTTCCTTTCTTCCTTCTCTTTCTTTCAAAATTGTACCACTGACCAAGTAGAATATTTGAAAGTGTTTTCAGCTGAAAAGCCTGCACAATGTCCAGATGTGCAGTCAAATTATCTGAAAGAATTTGAAGATAATTTGGATAGTTTTGATTACAAAGCAAACCTGTGAGTAAGATTATATGAATCCTTGTGTTATCTATTATAAAACATTTTCAAAACAAATCGGAAAAAGGGAGGTAATCAGGGTACTTGCATATACAGAATTTGGAGTTAGAGTAGCTCTATTACATCCAACTAAATTATGAATCTCTCTGAGACTCAGTTTCCTTGGTATAAAGATAATAAGAGCACTTACAAAGTTGCTGAGAGGTTTAATAAGTGTAGTACTGTGGTTAACATAGATATACTAAGCACTAAAGAAGTTTGCTATTATTTTAAATCTGCATAAGAACATAAACGTTCAATTCAGTTTTCTCTGATAAAAAAGCAAACTAAAAAAATTAAAAATTAAAGCAATATTAACCATCTGTATTCTTTCTTTTGTGGCACTGGGATTGAACCCAGTGGTGCTCTACCATTGAGCTCAGTCCCCAGCCCTTTTTATTTTTGTTTTGAGATAGGGTCTTACTAAGCTGTTGAGGCCGGACTTGAACTTGAAATTCTTCTGCACCAGGCTTCCAAGTAGCTGGGATTACAGACTTGCACCACCTTGTCTGACTTTTAACCATCTATATTTTAAAAATCAATTACATTTTCCATAAACCTCTTTCTTTTGTAATTCTGAGTAAGAACTGGCCAAAAAAGGGAATTGCATGAGATGTGAAGGCAAAATGGAAGTAGAATTTATTAATTCAAAAGTCCTTTAGGAGTCATCCGTGGTGTACAGTGGCTAGAGTGTTATTTTAATTCTTACCTGTAGTCTCCTAGAGTAAAATACATTTAAAGTGCAAGTCAAAGGGAGAGCTTATGGAAGTCTAATAACTTCATCAAGTTTTGACTTGAGTCTTTCTTCAAATGGGGCCTAGGAGTTCCACCCTCCTCACAGATATTGTCTTAATGCTGGGAGGTATTTGGCATAGACATACTCAGACACTGACAGAAACCCTGCCCTTCATTAGTCTTATGATTGTTGGAACAAGAGCTTGTATGGTGGTAATGTTGATGGAAGTTCCTAAAATTCGAAATTAAATCAATAAATGCTTTCCTGAAGGGGTTTCAGAATTTGCTCTACCATTAAGGATTAGAAGGATGCAGGGGTAGTAAATTATCATTATTTTTTAAAAAAAATATATTTATTTTTTAGTTGTAGTTGGACACAATACCTTTATTTTACATATTTATTTTTATGTGGTGCTGAGGATTGAACCCAGGGCTTTGTCTGTGCTAGGCAAGAGCTCTACCACTGAGCCACAGACCCAGCCCCTAAATTATCATTCTTTTTGCTATTATCCTCTGAAGACAGAGGATTTGAAGAATTACATTGGTTTACTACAAACAATCAGATGGTGCCCCCAATTTCAGTTGTGGTTCCATATGTAGTATA